ACAGGTTCTATATAACATTTTTCACCAACTTAAGTTTTAGTCATACACAAGTAGTGACTTCCCCTTTCAAAAAAAAAACAAGATGTGTGAATTCGACTGAACCAACAACTTGTTTATGGCTTGATATAAAGTACCAAGACAGGAAGTGACTTTTCAAAAATCTTCTAATAGAGAAATGTTCAGTTTCCATAAAAGAAGCAACCAGTGAGGACAAACATTCTGTGAAGACGACATTTGACAATCCTCACAAACAGAGAACCACGATTTCAGATCGAGCACAAGAACTGAAACATTTTATCACTGGATTTAAACATGGACAACTCTTTGCTGGGCTTAATACGTAAGTATGTCACATTATCTCTTTGAATCATTCCAATAACTTCATCTTTATAGTGTGAAAAACAAAATGTTTGGACTTCAATTGCTGAGATGTACAGAAAAGTTAAAGCTTTGTTGTTAGTAATAGCAGGTTGTTTAGTTTGCTTCAGTCTTAACTCTTTCAATCAATTTGTATTTAATACACTCGCAACATAATCTTGGTCAATTTTGAATGTGGCCAAGAATTTCTTCATCAGCGTCTGAACAGACAGTTGAACTTCCTTGTATTTAGCCTGTTTTTTGTCAACAGATAGAAACACTTAACATTTACAAAACCTTTGTACAGAAAAATGTCAATGTCAAATCATAATCATTAGTCATTCTCCTTGTTCTATATAATGATTTGAATCATGTTCTCTTTTAATGTAGGGAGGTGAGGAAAAGCTGAATTGTGATTATTGATGGAAAATAGACAATCTTGTGGCGTCTGTAGCCTGATTACTCTGCCAACTCAGCTACAGCGTCACTTCAGGAAGTGAGGATCAGTTGAGAAAATTATATTTTCACATCTTTAGAGGGGCTGTAGTCTGGGGTTTCCTTCATACCTTATGGACTCTATAAATTCATAAACTCCTCATCTTGGAAGTTAAGTCCCAGGTCCATTTGCACAAATTTTTATAAAATTTAAAATTTTCTTGCAGAACCACTATGGCTAGAGGAGACTGGGATGTTTTCTTTAGACGTTCCACGTTTGGGTCGTCAGTTCTTTAAGTTTTGGTTGTAACATCTGGAACAAGATCCTCCTCACTAATAGGATGCCCAATGTTTAAACCTTTAAGATCCAATGAAGGAACTGGCTTAAAGTGGGTCAACAATGTCTCCATTAGAACCAACAGGATCAAAATGGCTCTGCTTTCCTTTGTTTATGAAATATATTGATCACACATAGCTGTTTCTCCAGAAGTATGCAAACGTAGCAGTAAATTTATTATGTTTTTTTAGTTTTATTGTTTTTATTTTTTTACTCACTAACAAAAATTGTAAACTTTGTTTTAGTTCCCAGTTTACTGCTCTGCTGTGGAAAGTCTACAGGTAAAAGAAAAATCTTCCTCATTAATGTTGACTAGAGCTGAGAATATTGACTGACATCAATTGATTCAATTATGCTTCTGTCTTCTTCATGACATACCAGCATTTCCAGTAGGGAAACTCAGACAACTTTTACCTTCACTTGAATTACTTTTATTGAGAGATGTTGGGATTAATGTGAGTTTTCTTGTTGGGAGAAAAAAAAAAGTGTATTTTACTGACATCTTGGCTTCTGGAGAATCTTTGGTCTGTTGAACTATAAATAGCTGCGAGAGGCTTTGGAGCAACAAGCCTGTTATACTTGGGAGCGACTCCATATGAGGCTGTAATCCACTTTGTAAATAACATGATGTATGATTAGGTTCCTTCTCCAACTGATGATTCACCTTTTTTATTTTTATTTTTTCCAACTCCACACATAGTGACAGAAAATGATCATATGTTTTATTATGATGCAGGAATCTCACTAGGTAGTGGAGGCTCTTTGGGTCCTAGAAAATATAAATACACATTACCAATGTGAAACTACCTATTGAAATGTTTTACTGTATTCAGTCTATTTCATTTTGCACATTTCTAAGAGGATTAATAAATAAAGAATTCTGTGTTCAGCAGCACTAAAGCCAGTCCTCACTGTGTCTCCATCATGGCTGAATCCTGGAGCCTCAGTGACTCTGAGCTGTGAGGTTAAACCTTCATCTGCAGGATGGAGGTTCTACTGGTATAAAGCTGTTCCTGATTTATCAAAGAACAACTACAGATATGAGCTGCTGCCTCATACCATCCATGGGTCTGAACTGAACATCATTCATGGACAGAAACAAACAGCAGGATTTACATGTAGAGCTGGAAGAGGAAACCCAGAGGATTTCACTGATTACAGTGAACCAAAGTTTGTCTGGTCTGCAGGTCAGTGTGATTCAAACTAATGAACTAATCTTCTATCATTAAGTTTTAGTTAATGTGTGATTATCTCATTTTGACTTAAAAGTCTATGAATCATGTTAAACTAAGGCTACATTCACACTGCAGAGTGAAATGACCCAAATCAGATTTCTTTCTGTTCTTATGTGACCTCTATCTGATCATACTGCATATGATGATTGGGTCTTTTCCAATGTGATCCAGGTCACTTATGGTTCAAAATCTGATCCATATCTGATCTTTTTAAATCTGTACCACCAGGTCGTCTTCATCCTGAATGTCATTGAAACTCGTCAAACGTCACTAAAGGTTGTTTGTAGGAAGCAGACAGGAGATCAAACACAGGAGGCATATTTAGAAATGTGAACGAGCACGCAAAAAAAAATCCATTTCACAATAAACTGGAATTGAGCTTTAATGTGTGGCTGCAGCCTTAGAGAAAAAACTTGTTGTCATTCATGGACACAATTTGTGCAAAAAGTTGTTATTGATTGAAACATTAGTACTAGAAAAATATACAAGGTACAATTGATAAAAACGAAATACTGAGCGCAAGGAGGAGAAACAGTGAAACAAAGTGATTTATTAGCATAAATGTTCAGAACTCATTATTCAGAATTGCACTTGTTGAAATATGTGAAGAGGAAAATCTCTTCAAAAACATAGAAAAGGTTTTATTTCAAGTTGATTTCCTCCTGATTTATTTGATGTGTTTCTTGTTCTCCAGATTCTCGTCCAGCAGCGTCTCTCACAGTGAGTCCTGACAGAGAGAAACTTTTCACTGATGAGAAAATCCAACTGAAGTGTTCAGGAAGCTCTGCTGACTGGAGAGTGAGGAGATTTACACAATTATACTACAATCCAGATTTATCAAACTGCTCCAACTGGGGATCAATGACTGGATCCTCATGTACCTTCATCAGTCTTCAGTACCACAGAGCTGTGTACTGGTGTGAGTCTGGATCAGGAGAGTTCAGCAATGCAGTCAACATCACTGTATACCGTAGGTTAATTTAAATGTTTTTATCTTCTGACTTTAAAGTTTGATCCCATGTTGTCCATCTAAATTAATTATATTTAGTTTTACTTATGAATTATGTTTAATTTTTGATGGACATAATAATCAGCTTGATAACATTTCACAACTTTTAATGTTGTTTTTTTATTAGTAGCATGTATGTTTCAATGTTAAGAAAGCTGAGTGGATCCTTTTAAATGTTGCTATTACTTTGTTGTAGATGTCACTGTCCTTCAATGCTCACAATGTGACTCTAACAGGTTTTTAATATGGAAAATAAACTGTTAAACTGTTTCTCCGTCCAACAGCACCAGATTCCATCCTCACTGTGTCTCCATCATGGCTGAATTCTGGAGCCTCAGTGACTCTGAGCTGTGAGGTTAAACCTTCATCTGCAGGATGGAGGTTCTACTGGTATAATGTTGTTCCTGATTTCTCAAAGAATTACTACAGATATGAGCTGCTGCCTGGTAGCATCAGTGGGCCTGTAGAGAACTCCTTCATCATTCATGGACAGAAACAAACAGCAGGATTTATATGTAGAGCTGGAAGAGGAAACCCAGAGGATTTCACTTATTACAGTGAACCAAAGTTCATCTGGTCTGCAGGTCAGTGTGTTTCTGTTCTACTACTAAACTTCTATCTTGCTGACCAACCTGACATCCCACTGATCATGTCTGAGGTTTTCCTGGACAGACGTTTGTAAAATTAGATTGTATGATTGAAGATTTAATTCAACAAACAGAACTTTATACAGTGGTGAAAATTGATTTAATTTCCATTCATAAGAGCTGGACAATAAATCATTAACAGTATATTTTGCAATAGACAAAATCAATATCAATAAATTATACATTTGATAGAACGTTAAAAAATTTCACTGAACTATGATCCAGAACCCCACAGCATTCTGGGAGATGTAGGCAGATGAAAGGCTTCTAATGTTCAACCTCTGATGGTCAACTAAGTTAAGTGGGTGGCATCAACTAACTCACTGGTTACCTAGCAACAATCTGTTGAGTAACATGCCTCATAATGAAAAACATTAAAAATAAAAAACTATGTAGTGGAGTGATAAAGGATAAAACAGGAAAGGTCACCTTATTCGTTTTTCAGTCTTTAGAATATTAAAAACAAAAAACTATTCAATAATTATTGAGATTGACTGATATGAAACTTTTATATTGTCTTAAGTTTTCAGTCATATTGTCCATCTAAAGCAGGGAGGCCCAGTGTGAGGAACACATTGGAGATATTGATGGAATAATTATTTCCTCCATGTTGTTCTTCAGATCCTCATCCAGCAGCGTCTCTCTCAGTGAGTCCTGACAGAGAGCAACACTTCACCTCTGAGTCTGTGACACTGAACTATGGAGGAAACTCTGCTGAGTGGAGAGGGATGAAGTTTTCAGTAACAGGTCATCTGATATATTTAAGAATCTGTTGGGCAATGACTGGATCTTTATGTACCATCAATCGGACTCACTCTGATAAGTCA